TCCTCCTCCCTGCTGTTCGTGGGGCTGACCCCCGGCGCCCTCTACCAGCTGCAGGCCGCCGCCATCAGTGGGCAGCTGAGGTCCAAACCCATCAGCCTGGAGGCCCAGACAGGTCAGAGCATTTAGGGAAAAAGTTATTTAACTCTAGATGTCCCAGAGAAATTCAGTTTTCCTGCAAGCCCCCCCCCCCCTCCAAGTTTGTGTGTTCACTCTACCTTGGTAACTGTCTCTATTGTAATCCAAATAACCTGACATATGTATATGTATTATATTTTTTATATATATATACATATATATAACAAGAGCATGTTCTAAGCACTTTCCATGAGCCACCCCTTAAACATGACACCTCTTTGCTAAATCTTTTATTTTGGAAAACCTATACCAATTCCTGAGCTGAGAGCAGGTCATAACCAGGTTTTTCCAACAAGGCAAGGCAGAGCCTATTTCTATTGTCCATTCACCAACAGACTAATTTATATAGCAAAGTTCACTATGTGAAAGAAATAACAACATAGAAGTCTCTATGTTGTTGTACAATTAGTCAATTGTAGTTAGTCAACTACAGTCAACAGAGAGGCTTGAGCTAAAACCAAAACTAAAGGGTTGGAATGGTTCTCCAACAACAGCCCTAATGGGGCTTTTACATCTGAAAAGGGATTCATCTCCGGGCTTTCTAGTGTTAAATGAGTGAGGCAAAGTTTCTTAATAATTATAGAAGATCGATCTTGTCAAATAAAGGTGTTTTATTCTAAGGCAACAGCGTTCTAAGACGCAGATCAGAGAGTAAACGTCCTCTTATATAACTTAATATGGGTAAAGGAAGGGGAAAACGCCACTGTCTCTTATCTTAAGAGATTCTGATTTACTCCTCAGTCCTCAAAGAAGTCCCATGGAGAATCTCTAAAAGGAAAAAAGCTATGCTTATTCTCAGGAGTCAGGAAGGGACCAAAAGGAGAATGTTCTCAGGAGAGGAGTGAGGATGGCACAAAGAACCAGTCATACAATTTTAAAGATAAACAGGAATGTGAGATTAATCCTAGATGGGATAAAGGAGAATCTTGCATTTCCTACTGGTGCTAAAACCACAGTCGCCAAACATGAGAGACTCTCCCAAAATGAACAACCAGGTATCCTTAACGAAGAACCAAAAGAGAAAAAATCTCCAGGACACCATCCATCCAAAAAACCCAGAAACTCCGTCTTTTGCCTCGGGGGAATTATTTGTCCTGACTTTTTTCCTCTGAGAAAACAAAAGGAACCTGAAAACAAAGCAGCTAATTGGAGTTTATTGTTTAGGCGGGCAAAAAAAACCCCCCAAAAACTGGATTAAATAATTACAAACGCACAAAGACGCACGTTTGTTTATATAACGCTTATTGTTGACTAATCGTATTGTGTATTTTCCCATGCGAGGCACAATCAGAGGCTCTAACAGGAAACTTTGAGCCTTTCCAACGAACAGCCAGTTACAGGAACACAAAACAGTCTGTAAAATAACACTCAGAAAGGATTTTCTCAGTCAGAATAATAAACTTGAAAGTTGTTTATCCCCCTTTCTGCTGCTTACAACTATTTATCATCAACATTTAGCATTTTGAGACAGGAAGCTTTTTAAATGAAATGCATTTTAATAATGAACGAACAATCAATAATGAACAGCCACAAGAAGGAAGGAATATAGTTAATTTGGTTTAAAAAATCTACCTATCTCCATCATTAATAATCAGTCATCCTTAATTGTTGATAACCACTAATCTCAGAAGGTAACTTCCCATCTATTTGAACCATTAAGATCTGATACACAAAAGCATAGAAGCTAATGCTAATCTATTATCCAAATAAATCAGCTGTAAAATCAGAGGTAGAACTTCACCTTTTTCGGTTAAAAAACCTTAGAAGTTACGAAGCTCTGAAATAAACTGCATGGCAGGTGTTTTTTTTAAGGGAACTACAGGTCTGATTTTTTGGGCTGAGGTCCCCAGATAGGTATTTAAACAAGTCTGTGTGTGATAACATCAGTCGGCTTTAAAACAATGAACAAAATA